GGTTGCACCAGCTTGCATTCCCACCAACAGTGTAGGAGGGTTCCCCTTTCTCCACATCCCCGCCAACATCTGTCGTTCCCTGACTTGTTAATTTTAGCCATTCTGACGGGTGTGAGGTGGTATCTCATTGAGGTTTTGATTTGGATTTCCCTGATGCCGAGTGATGTTGAGCACTTTTTCATGTGCCTGTTGTCAGCCAAGTTCTTTTAAAGAACAGATGACTCTCAGTCTTTCTAAGCCTCCACTTGCCATTCACTTGTAGCCCCGTGAGGTTAGGCCTCTACCCCATGTTGCACTAAACCTACTCAGGTAAGCATCACCTTGAAGCATCAGGCTTCAAGTCCTCAAATCCTAGACATTCGTTGTTCTTCATCTTACCTGGCCCTTTCCCAACATTAGAAACCACTGATCTCTTGAAACCCTGGGTGTTGTATGCAACTGATGAATCACTGAACTCTACCTTTGAAACTAGTAACCCACTATATGTTAATTAATTGAATTTAAATAAACAAGACAAAACAAAAACCTGCCTGCTTAGAACCCTGCCAAGAAAACTGGAGAAAAGTACATTTCCAAGTATACTTCCACATCTGTCTATCTCTTCAACATGACCTGTTCGCCCCACCACCAGCCCCCTTCACCCCCCGCCCTCGGGGTGAGCTGCCATATGCCGCTAGCACTTCCCCTAAATGCCAGGCAATTTTACCTCAGCATCTTGCTCATACTTCTCTCTCTGCTGGGAAAGACCTCCCGCTTTCCCTTGCCCCTTGCCCCACACCGGCCTATCTGGGGGACCTTCTTTGATCTTCCAAGAGTCAGCTATAGCAAGCTCCAAGAGAGCTTTCCCACATCCTCAGCTTGTCCCTGCAGAGTTGAGACATCCATACCCTCCTGAGTGCCCCCACTGACCCTTTACTGGTGTGTGTTGTAGCATATACAACATGTTGTTGCCTTTTTTTTTTTTTAGGGAGGGGGAGAGAAGGGGAGAGGCAGAGGGAGAGGGAGGGAGAGAGAGAGTCTTAAGCAGGCTCCATGCCCAGAGCAGGGCCTGATGCGGGACTTGATCTCAGAACCCTGAGATCATGACCTGAGCTGAATCAAGAGTCAGCCGCTTAACCGACTGAGCCACCCAGGTGTCCCTGTTGTTGCCTTTTTTAAAATGCTTGTCTCTACTATTGTAAGTTCCATGAGGGCAAGACCATGACTTATCTATGTTTACATGGTGCATCTGGTATACCATAGGTGCTCCACGCATACTTATAGAATGGGTGAATGAAGATGAGCTATTACCTTCTTGAGTTTAATGAGCCTGCTGCTCACCAAGGCAAACTGTGCCAGATCCCCTAAGATGACAATGTCTTCGTGCATTGTGACTAAGATGGCAGCTGTAACACTGGATGGTCTAGTCAGTGGAACCTGGGGAGTAAGCTCTGGGGAATTCCATGACAAAGGGACAGAGCAGGGCAGAGAGAAGTTTATAGATTGTGATGTGGGTCCAGTCCTAAGATAAAGGAGGTTTACAGAAATGGACGCTTTGTTGAAGCCTTCAGGGATGGTCAGAGAGCTAAGCTGTGGGCGGGACACAGATAGACTGGGCTCCGTAGGGCTTAGCTCAGGACCTAAAAGGGAAGGTAGGCACATCACATAGGAAAGCCCTGATGTGAGAGGATGTGCCAAACTCTCAGGAATCAGATGTGAGGATATAACTAGACCCCATCCAGTCTAATTTCCCCACCTTCAGCTGGCTCTTGGAGACCAGTCCCTGGGAAAGCATGAGATGCTATGATGTTGAAGGAACGCAGGAACCAGCAGGCTGTGCCTTAAACACTTAATTATACGTGAGCTTGGGCAGGTTGCTTACCTTCTTTAGGTCTCAACTGCCTCACCTGTAAATTGCACACACACTGACATGCCTCAACCACTTCACAGGATTGCAGTAAAGGTCAACTCGTCGTCATAATAATAGCTATTCTTTTTATATCACTTCCTATGTGTCAGAGGCTATGCTAAGTGCTTCACATATGATATCCTGACAACATCTCTGTGAGATAGAACTAATTTTTTATGTTTTAATTTATTTTTATTTTTTAAAGATTTTATTTATCTATTTGACAGAGAAAGACACAGCGAGAGAGAGAACACAAGCGGGGGGGGGGCGCGGGAGAGGGAGAAGCAGGCTTCCTGCCGAGCAGGGAACCCGACGTGGGGCTCGATCCCAGGACCCTGAGATCATGACCTGAGCTGAAGGCAGACACTTAACGACTGAGCCACCCAGGTGCCCCTAGAACTATTTTTTTTTTTTTAAGATTCATTTACTTCAGCGAGAGAGAGCACTAGGGGAGGGGCAGAGGGAGATGGAGAGAGAGAGAACTTCAAGCAGACTCCCTGCTGAGCTTGGAACCTGACATAGGCTGATCATGACCCCAGCCGAAACCAGGAGTCTGACGCTTAACACACTGAGCCACCCAGGCGCCCTGAGATAGAACTATTATCAGCTCCATTTTACAGATGAGTGAATCGAGAGGTTTAGGGAGGTAAAATACCTTGCCCAAAGTCAAATGCTTATGAAGTGAGACAGTGGAGCTGGCTTTTGGGTTGTTGACCCAGTGTTCTGGTTCCCCAGGCTGTATATTCCGGTGCGTAGCTGACCTTGCAGTCTAGGAGTAAAGCAACCACAAGTTGCTTCTGGATCTGCAGCCGCAGTGGCCACACGTAGCAAGGTTTAGGGGAAGGACCGTTCCTTCTCCTTGGCCTCAGCAACGTGCTCCTGAGGGGTCAGCTTTCTCTTCCCAGCCATGGGGGTTGGTGAATGTAACTGTATTGAATAGTGTCTCCCCTGAATTCATGTCCACCCAGAACCTATGCATGTGATCTTATTTAGAAATAGGATCTTTGCAGATATAATCAAGTTAAAATTACTTGAACTCATAGTGGATTAGGGTTGGCCTTGATTCAGTTACTGGTGTCTTTATAGGAAGAGAGAAATTTGGACACAGAGATACGCAAAGAAAAGATGGCCATGTGAAGATGGAGGCAGAGAATGAAATTATGCTTCTGCAAGCCAGGGAACACCAAGGATTCTGGGAATCACCAGAAGCCAGAAGAGACAAGGAAGGATTCTTCCCTAGAGGCTTGAGAGAGAGCATGGGCCTGCTGACACCCTGGTTTCAGATTTCTAGCCTCCAGAACTGTGAGAGAATAAATTTCTGTTATTTTAAGCCACCCAGTTTGTGGTACTTTGTTAAGGCAGCCCTAGGAAACTAACACAGTTACCCAGCGCTGTGCACATCACAGCTGGGCGCCCTACGTATGGATGGAGCAGAGTTTGAGAGACCAGTTAGATGGACTGGGGTGTGTGTGCCCATTTTGGGGTGATGAGGGAGAGCAGTATTACTCATCCAGCTACTGGCCAACTCCTAGACAGCGTCTCTGCGTGACTTTGCCCGTGTATGTTTGTGTGTGAGTTGTGTCTGGGGGGTGTGGCTGCCATCTTTTTTTTTTTTCTGGATGTGAGGTTGGGCGTTCTCCATTGGTAGCAACTTATAAGATGAGGATTCCCTTTGGGAAACGTTGCCCCCCACCTCCAGTCATCCTCTCCACCCCTAGATCTTGGATGATGATGCACTGTGCTTAGAGAGGTTAAGAAACTTGCCCAAGTTTTCATGCCAGTTAGGAAGAAAAGGAAAATTCAGATCCAGAACTCTGGTTCCAAAGACCCTGCCCTCTTCAAGAGCTCAAACTAGTTTCTCAAGCTAAAGAAAGCAAACTCTTTTCAAAAAGATACGGGCGATTCAGTTAACCTTCTTTAAGTACTTTGTTTCTAAATTTGAAAGTAACACTTGTTTATTTGTAAAATATTTAGAAAACATTGAGTGTTTCAAGAAAAAGTAAAAAAAAAAAACTATATCCTGGCAATAACTAACTGCTAATATTGGGCAATTCCTTTCCAGTCTTTTCCCCATACAGTTATATATTATCAACAAAATTAGAAGAATACTGCAAATAGTTTGGTATTTTGCTTGCTCATTTTACGTTATCTCACAAACATCTTACCTTATTGGTTTTTATAAATATAATTTGTAATTACTAAATAATGCTCCATCACATGGATGGGCCATCATTTACTGCGTGAGCGTCCAGCTTTTTATAATGATAAACATGCAACTGTTAACATTTTTCATACATATTGGTCCTCATCTCTATTATTTCTTGAAGACAGATAAGGAATAATACCAGTCCATGGGTATGGATATTTTAAGGCATTTGATATATAATGTCAAACTGTTTACCAAAAGGGTTCTATCTCGCAGCAGAATGGGAGTGCCTCCCGCAGCACCCTCACCAAGACTGAGCGCTAGCATTGAAAACCTGGCTCTGTTCTGCAAAGGGGCACCCCAGGATGCGATCACACAGGTTGCCTGCGTCCACCGGACCGCAGGCGGCCGCGCGGGACAGGGAGGCGGATTGCGAGGACCCCGGCGGGACATGAGACGTGATGGGGGCTTGAGACGAGGCAGTGGGGATGGAGGAAACAGGAACACACGCACGCGACCAGTAGAACATTCGATGCGGAGGAGGGGGTCGGTGCTGATAACTGTGCGCCGGGCGGGGTGCTGGCCAGGGTGGAGGCCGCGTGTCAGACTCGGGCCTCTCCGCGGAGCGCTCGGCACCCACCCGTGAGGTGGCCGAGGCGCGAGCCCCTCCCACCCCTTTAACAGGGACACTCCCCTTTAAGGCGGGCGCCCGCGCGCACCCGGCCCCGCCCTTCGGGGGCGCGCGCGGCGGCCGCGGCGCCGGCTCGGCCGGGAGCGCACGTGCCGGCGCCGGGCGGAGGAGAGGGAGGCGGGAGCGGGGCCGAGGGAGGAGGGGAGGCGCCGGGGGCGCGCGCGCGCGCGCTGGGCGCTGCTGGGCTGCGGCGGCGGCGGCGGCGGCGGCGGCGGCGGTTACTATGGCGGAGTCGGCCGGAGCCTCCTCCTTCTTCCCCCTTGTAGTCCTCCTGCTTGCCGGCAGCTGCGGGTCCGGGCCCCGGGGGATCGAGGGTGAGTCCCGGGCCGGGGGGCGTGGGCCGGGATGGAGAGGGCCGGGCGAGGGCGAGGCCCCGCGCCGCGGCCCCTGGCTACAGCGCGCCCCCTCCCCACGCGCACAATATGGCCGGGTGGGGGGCGCGGAGGAGTCGGGGTGACCCGTGGTCGGCGTCCCCAGACTTCCGAGGCGCAGCTGCCCAGCCGGGACCGAGCTCACGCAGGGCCCCTGGGGACCCGAGCCCTCTTCCAGGCGGAACTGGATTCGGGGAGCTCTCAGGGTCGCGCTCCCAGCACCCCCTTGTTCCATAGAGGGGAGGGCAGGCTCCCTTTCCCGAGATTTGGAGGTCCGTGCTTCTGCCTCTCAGCATGTCTAGGGGCGGGGGTCTTCATTCCCTCCCTCCAGATGCTCTTGGGGGGCGCCTTTTCTCCCGCCAAGATTGAGGGGCTCAGACGATGGGTCTTTGCTTCTCCGAGGTATCCTGATGTGGCGAGCCCTTGCGCACCTCAGATGACAGGGGAAGGGGTCTCTAACCTTTCCTTCAGGACCTGCACTTGGGGTGTCTCTTCCCTTCCCTCTGCTTCCTCCCTAATGTTCTGGGAAAGGGAGTCACATTTCCCCTACGTGCAGCCCCCTTGAGTTCAGGGGGGCAAAACCCCCCACATACACATGCCCTGTGGAAGCTGTTTGGAGGAAGGGAGACCAACAGGCCCCTAAACGTTTTTGGAGCTTGGCTTTGAAATCTCTCTAACCCTAGGAAACCTGGTTCCAGAACGGTTAATCTGCATCTAGGTGTATTTGCTTTCCACCTCGCTTCCCCCACCCCACCCCAGGGGGCCCATTCAGTTAATCACTTTGTGGATGCCTTTCGGGTGAAATCCTAGAACCTCCCTCCAACCCCCAAGATTATCTAAAGATCCCACCACTGGACCGACTCCCCGGCCCTTGGTCAGTACTTATTTACCTTCCCACACAATCCCTTTTCCCAGCCCTGCCCCCCACGCACTCCCCCACCCTCACACACCCCTTACCTTCCAACCCCCACAGCCTTCTGCTCCCTGACACCACCCCCACCCTTCTCAGTATAGAGGTGGGTACCTTTCTGTGGGACACTCGACTGGGTGTGTTGTTTATGAGGCTTTGGGGGCTAAGAAGAGCAGATGAAACCCTAAAATATTTAATTTAAGAGACTCGTCTGAAATGTGTTTTGGCATTGGGGTAGCAGATGAAGGTTATATTTGGCAGTTATATTGAAGTGATTATTGACCCACAGATGGATCTGGGAGAGACGATCAGGATTGTATTCGCTCCCCGATGTACAAAGCCTGGGCTTTGACTTCTCAGCAGCCCTTAACCTTCCAGCTATGGGAGATCAAGTGTGTGTTCTGTGGCTCTCCTCTCTACTAAAAATAATGATTCTCAGGTGGGTTCAGGCTTCTTTAATAAACCAGACAAACAAGAAAAGACATCATCCTACTTTGGAGTCTCCAAAACAAGTTCATTATCTCCAGCTTTGATATTTGTTCCCAGTGGTGTAGTCTGTGCAGTGGGGTCTTTGTTCACTGGCTAATGCTTCTGTTAAGCACCTCGTGTGTGTTCCTGGGTCTCGCTGCTCTGTGCATGGGTAATATGCCATGGGGTCTGATAAACATGGTGAAGGTCTACGAACATGGGCTGACGGTTGTAAGATAATGATTTTCGTGAATAATGTTTGCTGGGCCTTATTATGGGCCATGTTTTTGGAATGTGTAACAATGTTATTTCTCTAGTAGGATAGTAAATAAGGAGACTCAGCCATCAGGTTTGTCATTTTGTATGTGTCTGAATAAATCTTTACATTCTTTCCATAAAATTTTTTATGCTGTCCCTAATATAGTTAAGATTTTTAACAGCCATTTCCCTGTTGATTTGGTGTAGTGTCTGTGGGGTTTTTGTTGTGGTGAGCCTAGTTAAAAATGTTTAATTGGTAATCCAGCTGGTTCTGAATAGGGCAGAGTTCATTTTTTTGTAACCTTCCTAAAATGGATGTTTGTTAGGGTGAGGATGGGTGGGCATAATAGGGAGTTAGTTTCTTTTTTTGGTAAATTGGAAATTAGGTTGTGTGTCCAGCAAACATTCTCGAAGGCCTTTAAACTTCTTGGCCAGACACTACAGTTTTTTCCGGGACACATGTAGTTGCCAATAGTGCATGCTACAGAGACCACTGTTGCAAAAGGCTTAAAGTAAAACGTCAGTTCTGGGAAAATAGAGGCTGTGGGATTAACAAGAAGTTGATTGCTTTCCTCCCCTGCACTTCCTCTGTGTGTTCCCCTAGGTGAGCTGGAGGAGTGGCTGAGCCAGGCAGCCCTAATGGTTGGTACTTGGACATGACATGAGGGCAGCAAGGGATAGGTGTTCTATTAGTGCATTAACTGCGACTTAGTAAAAGGCCAGTGACAAGGAGAATGAGTTCTAGGTTATAAACAGCATCCACTTGATAGGTGTAACAGGTTTTAAGGCCTCGCTTTGGAATTTTCACATCAGTATTTAAAAATGTAAACTTGCATTAGTAATGGGAGAACATGACATACATTTCTTAAGACAAAAGCAACAAGGGAGACGTTTGAGGTTCTGATAGGAACATTTTGGATTTTTGTGAACAGACTTAAAAATCTAATTTCAGGCCAAGTCTTGTAATTTTGTTGAGTGCACATGGATTTGAAGTACAGGGAAAGTGAACTCTTGTAGAGAAAAAGAGAATCTCTGGTTGATTTTGTTAAAAGAGCTCCTGGAACAGATGTGATTAAAACATAATAAAATGGCTACTCTGGTTAAAGGTTGGAGCCAGATGGAGGGAGGAGGCCAGATCTCAGCCCCAGAACTTTGCTCCCTTACAGGTTGTCCTTGAACAAGTCACTTGCTTAACCTTTCTGTGACTGCCTCAGTTTTCTCTCTGTAAAGTAAGGAAACAGCCCATGTAGTTCTTATTGGGACATTTGTGAGACTAACTTACTGATAGCCAGTTGGCTGGGAGGTATTTTTAGACACAGTTTCTGACTTCAGGGAACAAGCAATGTTGGGTTACTTTTTATCTTATGGAACAGAATAACATACTCTTGGGATTGATAGAAGCATCACAGGCCACAGCGTGGTTAATTTCTTCTGATTTGTGCATTTTTTTTTGTAGACCTTTTCAGATTTCCTCAAGTTAATTTCTGTCTTTTGACAGGCTCTTACATCGTAGACCGGGCAGCGTACCTGTGCTAATCAAAGACAGTCTGGAGGGAGTGACCTGCTTTAGGCTTTATTGGTTTGGCAACGTTTTAATTCTTACGCAACTCTGGGTATGTTTATGGCACTATGTAAATGTTACATAAGAACATGGAGGCTGAGAGGTGGCTGGAATGGTGCCTGTGAACACAGGAAGGTTAGACTGAGGACTTCATCCGAAAGGACCTTGGGAAGCTGCAATCAGCACAGGAAGAAGCTGCACTTCATTTTCCTCTAAAAACCTTTTTAGATGATTGTGTCTTTCAGGTGGACTGCTGTGTTATAAATAGGTTTATTCTCCACTGGTGAGCTAATTGTAACCTTGCTACCAAAATATGAATCAGTAAACGAGGAGACGAGGAGCCGTGCTGCTTCTTTCAGCATGTCCTGTCGAAGCTGCTTGTTGCGTTTTGGAACATGAGTTGCGTTGCAGTCTGCTCTCATAACTCAGGAGTACAGGGTGTTGAGGTGGAATGGAATTCTCAGTTCATGGTGCTTTAGATCTTCTTTATTTTTGAAGGTTAAATTAGAATACTGATGTGGCTCTTTTGTTTTAATTTTGAAATCCTTATTGTTTACTGTTCAGTTTTTGCTCAGAGCAGCAGTGAACATTAATTCTGGAATCCCGCCTCTTTGTCTTGTGTTATTTGTCCGTTACTGTAGGAGTTGATGTAAGAGGGTCTTATCTCATTTTCCTCTCTGTGTTTATAAAAAGAAAATCCTAGAGCCCTCTTTCTCAGCTATCCCTCTGACGCTGGAAGTGCTGCTGGCATCCGTGGCCCATCAGTTCCGCCTGGGCTGGGAATGCTGAGGCCTCTGAAGGAATCAGCTCCTCAGACCCGCAGTCTCCTCTGCATTTCTCCCCCTCTGTAGGCACCGCCTCGTGGCCAAGTTCCAATACCTACCTGCCTGCTCCGGGTTTTTGCTCTCCTCAGTGTCTCTTGCACATGTGGTTTGACCTGAGCTTGGGCTCCCGGAGGCACCATCCCTGCTCTTGCCTGTTCCCTCTGCCTGCTGGCTTCTCCATCAAGGACACCTGTAACACCAAGCAGAAATACTATTTCAGAATGTATCTCTCCTTCCCTTACTCGGTAGAGCTGCCAGCATTTGGTTGAGCCATGGTGTTTGCATCCCAGACAATCTGACCTGCTCTCTGTGTTTCAGAGACAGTGCCACCTTAGGCAGCTCTGGGGTTCTTTTTGGTTTTCTTTCTTCTCTCTCCACTTCATCCTAAGCCTGCATTTGTCTTACCAAATGTTTTGAATTTAACATAATGAAAGTAACTGCCCTTCTCTTTAAAGTGTCAATCACCCCTGATATTTACACAATTACATATAGGAGATTTCTTTATTCATTAGGTTGGGTATATGCCTGGAATGGTTCTTGGCTTGGGGAAATAACCCCGAGAGAACAAGATGGACAAACTTACAATAGCAGTGGCTGAGACTGAAGATAAGTAAACACAATTCTCAGTCTTAAGTGTTCTGGAGAAAATAAAACAGAATGATGTGCTAGAGTGTGCTGAGAGCTACCTTTTCACATCTGTCTCAACTTTATTTTTTCATCTGTAAAATAAGGCTAATATAGTCAAGTGTCATTATTCGTGGTACTTATGTTCTATGAAGTCGACTGGAACACTGGATTAGCAAATACTGAACCACTGCTCCTAGGGGAAAGATGGGGTTAGGTTCCTGTGAGCCACTGGTCACCACCTCTTCATCGACCAGTCAGTATATAACCTTGCTATGTGTGTGTTTCTGGTTAAAGACACCTTATTTAATATATATTGGTTAATTAACCTTGGACTTAAGGCCAACAGCACTGTAGTGAAAGCCTGAATGACACTTGACTGATGGGCGTATTTTCTCTGCAAGGTACATCACTGTCTCTTTGAGCTTGGGAACACTGGAGAGCATTTTAGCCCTACTCTTGGGGGCCATTTTAAACAGTGAAATCCCCACCACCAACACAAAAATGCAAAAAGGTGAAAAGCAAGGCACAGAGTAGTATACTATGAAAAGAATACATATTTACAGTATGAAAGCTGACACAGGAAGGCAGAGCATTGTCACCTTGTTCACCATCAGCTGGGGACATGTGCATTGGGTGACTCCCGTTTTTTACCACTGCACATGTCTGTGAATGACCATGAAGGCACAGAGTACTGATTTTGGGGCTACAGATAAATTTTAATGAATATGGAATCTATGAAAGATGAGGATCACCTGTATTTTGTTAAAGCCATACACAGATCATTGTGGCAGAGATAAAATTATATGGAATTCCAAGGATTCCTAAATGGTTTCACTGAACCAGAATTTGAATATAGAGAGAAGTCCCATTTCCAGTCTGTAAATATGTAGTTATCTGAAGTAAATATATATAGATATCTATATATAGTGATCTATATATATATATAGTGATATATAGATATGTAGTGCTCTAAGTAAATATATAGTGATCTGAAGATTCCTTTAACACATTTATTGAGCACCTAGGTTCTAGAGATACAACAGTAAGCAAAAAGACATACAAATGCCTTCCTTCAGGGCACCTGGGTGGCTCAGTCGTTAAGCGTCTGCCTTCGGCTCAGGTCGTGATCCCAGGATCCTGGGATCGAGCCCCGCATCGGGCTCCCTGCTCCGCGGGAAGTCTGCTTCTCCCTCTCCCACTCCCCCTGCTTGTGTTCCCTCTCTTGCTGTGTCTCTCTCTGTCAAATAAATAAATAAAATCTTAAAAAAAAAAACAAAACAAAGATGCCTTCCTTCGTGAAGCTTACTTTCTGGCAGGTGAGATAGATAATAAATAAAATATAGTGATTCTGCCTACCGCAGTCCACCCTCTGCCCCCTCCCCCCAAGATTTCCTGCCTTTGGAATATACCGACTTCCAGTTGTTAAACATGAATCTAGGTACGCCTTGGAGGGATTATGCAGATGTGATTAAGGTCCCAAATCAGTTGATCTTCAGCTAAGGGGACTGTTGTGATAGACCTGACCTGACTATGCTAGCCCTATGAAAGCAGTTTTCACAGCTGATTGCAGAAGAGGAAGTCAGAAATGCTCCAGCTAGTTTGGAAGAAAGTAAATATCTCAGAGCTGAGAGTGGTCCCTGGCTGTCGGCAAGGAGGTAAAAGGGGACCTCAGGCTTCCATCCACAAGGCAGTGGAGTTTGCCAACAACCAGTGAGCTTGAAAGAGGTCCCAGCCCTGGAGGAGAAGGCAGCCCTGGCCAACACCAGTCACGCTGTGCCTGGACTTCTGACCTACAGAAACTGAGATAGTAAATAAGTGGTGTTTTTTAAAGAGAGAGAGAGAGAGAGAGAGAGAGAGAGAGAGAGAGTGTGTGTGTGTGTGTGTGTGGCGGCGGCTCAGATGGATATGTGAGAAGGAAAGCAAGAAGGGAACTAACTACCCAAGATAGGGTACCCAGCCATGCTAGTGATGGACCTCCCATGTGAAAAGTTCTTTGACCACACGTGGCCTTCACCTCCTCTGCCAGTTACCTAGATAGTTGTGACTGAGTGCAGGAGAGAGCAGATTGTGGGCACTTTGGAGATAAATTTTTTAGGTAGTAACAATGTTTGAGTTGAGGAATTTGAACTGAAGCATATCTTTTTTTATTAAGTAGTTGTGAACCTGCCTTGCCCTAGATCTTCATGTGTTGTCTTGGTGTACGTTTGTGTATTACATTTTATAATTGTGGTCGATAAGATTGAATTGTCGTCAGTGTTCATTTCTAACATCCAGGACCAAGCTGAATGGTGAGAGGGATACTGAGGAAAGAGTCTGTCCTTGCCCCTTAAGAAGTTTACACACAAATTGACTTGTTTTCTTCTTTTTGGAACAACCACAAGACCCTTCTCATGCGGTGGGATGGCAGTAGTAATAAAGGCACCTGGTTAACTGAATGCTTACTGTCTACTCAGCTGTGATGCTAAGGACTTGGGTTATGTCAGTTACTCTCTGCAGCTACTCTGAGCACTCTTATCCCCATTGTACAGATGAGGCGACTGGGGCATGGTGAGGTTCAGTGGTGGGCTCAAGGTCTGTCGGACTCCAAAGCATGTGCTCTAAATCCTGTACTCTACCATATTCTACGAGGACTGTGAAAGTAATTTTCTAACCAGTCTCTGCTTCTAGGCCCCCACTTGTTGTCCATTCTATTGCTGGATTTAACTTTGGAGAGCATGGCCTCTGTGTCTCATGATTCCACTGCTTTCGTGTGGCCTCCAGGATCAACCCCAGACCCCTTAGCCTGGCATCATGGTGCATCGGATTTGGTCTCGTCTTCCTTACCGTCCTTGTCTCTGGCTGGAACCTTGCATCTGTCTGTTCGCCGTGAACCTAATATGCCTTGTGTTTTGCTTGGCCTCGGCCTTCTCTTCTTAACCAAAGTGACCATCCTCCAATGTGGGACCGTCTTTGTCCTGCCTTCCCCTGGTCCATGGTTCCATCCTCTCTGCTCTTCTCTTTGGTCCATCTGCTCCTCCCACTCTCCCAGCCTCTGCCCTCTAAAAATGGATGCTCAGAACTGGCTTATTCTTCTTTCTGTGGCTTTGTCCTGTCACAGAGCCTTGCACATTTTAAGTACTTAATAAGTTTGTTTAATTGAATTCATTCAGTTCTTTTCCATCCTCTCAGCAATATCCTAGGTAAATAATTCCAGTTCTGTCCCTGCTGTACTTTTAGTATCTCCTCTTTATGCAGTTTTTATCCTAGTCACTCAAAAATGCTACAAACATTTCTCAGTTACTTGGAACATGATAAGCTCTCTTCCTACCTCACCGCTTTCATCTTTGTTTTATTCTACCACCTACCCATTTTATTCCAGCCAAATGCACTTGATCTCAGCCTCATTAGTTTTATTCTCAGCCCTGGCTGATTTTTTTTCTCCTTCTTTGTCCCAGTTGCCTGAAACCATTCCTATTCCTCTTCTCACTCAAAACTGTGACATACACTGTCTCCTCTCCACTCATCCATAGTATAGTAAATAGGTCAGGAAGCAAATACAAAATGCCACTCATAAACATCCTCCCCTGTCCTAATGAGCCACAAATACGTCTATTTAAATACAACAAAGAGAGAAAGCAGAATGGTTTTACATGTTCATTATAAACTGTAAGTAAAGGAGAAGTACCAAGATACTCCTAGATAGTCTGAATAGGACCTCTGAGTCCATACACTTGGGTCCTAGGAACACCAGGCACGCCCCGTAGTAAGACGCCGCTCATTCTAGTTTTACCTTGACATTCTCCTGGGCAGCAGGTGGGCCCTTGCTGAGATATTCAGGTATTTACAGTCAGCCATAAATTAAGTTGCAGTGACAGGTCTCCTTAGCATAAACATCAAACGTCTCTTTTGAGTGAGAACAAAGCTTTCATTCTCCAGACCTGAGGCTTAAGGGTGAACTTGTTTAAACAGCTCTCTAGGGTTGGGTTTGTCTCCAAGTAGAATGTCAGAAAGGCAGTTGGTAGGATAGATAGAGTGTGGAGCTGGCTTTTCAAACACCTTTCTCTTATGCAAACCCCATTCCAAGACCTTTTCCCAGATTGAAATTAAATACCAAGCTTATCAAGTGTCTTATTGTTAAATCTCTGGGCTTTTTTTCCCCTCCTCATACAAATAGCTTCCTTTATCAAGTCGGTTACATTTTTTTCATAAGTGCTTTTTACCAGTACATTTTTTTGGTTTTTTAGGTACCACCCAGCTGCACGTGTAAAATTTGACTTTATTTTGGCACTTGGATACTTGAGAGGTTTGGTTTGGTTTTGTTTTAATGTATTTTTAAAATCTAATTTTGATGATTGTGAAGGGTGAAAATGTAACTTGGGTCTTTTTTATGAACCAGTAGCATCTAATTGCTTTACTTTAACGTTAACGTGATGCTTCTACTTAGATTAAGAGGCTTGGCTGCTGACACATTGTCAGTTCCCAGTTACTGTCTCCCCTCACCCCTACCAGGGGAACCAACATTACCTTTGTTTTGTGACACTTTAGTACCAGACGCCATTTTTTAACCTGATTCAGGATTTTCCTAAACATTTTGGCAGTTGTCTAGATCAGTAGTTACTGAACAATATTTTTCTTTTTTCTTTGTCTTTTTAAAGCAGTGCAACCCTTTAAATGTACAAATGTAGAAACGTATGTACAGCAGATAAAATCCACTCTGGCAGAGCCCCCTTCCCTCTCAAGTTATTAGGCTGAGATTTATTAAACATAGTACTATTTGCTAGGCACTAGACACCACTGAGAAAATGGTGAAGCAACGCAGGGCAGTGGCTCCCCCCTGGTGGAGCTTAAGGGTTCCTGGGACATCTTGGAGAGCACAGGGATTCAGGAAGAATACAATCTGAAGAACGCTAGACTTCCAAGGATTTTCTTCCTTGTTATTTATGTATGTATGTATGTATATAAATAAGTGATCTCTGCACCCAACGTGGGGCTCAGACTGATGACCCTGAGGTCAAGAGTTGCTTGCGCTACCACCTGAGCCAGGCACCCTGAGTTTTTTTTTCCCCATGCATGCGTGAGGTGTTTAAATGTTTTTGTTTCATAATGGAGATTATATTATACATATTGTTTTTCAAAGATGTTTAATTTTTTTAAAATTGTGGTAAAACACAGACAACAAAGAATTTACCATTTTTAACCGTTTTAAAATGTACAGTTCAGTGGTGTTAAGTACCTTCATAACGTTATCACCACTATCTCGTTCTAGTACTTTTTCTTTACCCCAGAGGAAACCTAGTAACCCATTAAGCAGTAACGTTCCATCCTCCTTCCCACTCCACTCCCCAGCCCCTGACAACCACTAATGTGCTTTCTGGATATTTAATATAAATGGAATCATATAGTATATGGCTGCTTTCACTTAACATAGTGTTTTCAAAGTTCATTCATATTGTAGTGTATATCAATAGTTTATTCACTTTTATGGCTGAATAATACTCCATTGTATGAATATACCACATTTTGTTTTTCCACTCATTATTTGATAGACATTTGGGTTGTTTCCACCTTTTGACTATATACATAGTGCTATTATGAACTTTCGTGTACTAGTTTTTGTTTGAACATTTGTTTTCAGTCTTTTGGATGTATACCTACAAGTGGAATTTTTGGGTTATATGGTAATTCAACATTTAATTTATGGAGGAACTGGGCGCCTGGGTGGCTCAGTTGGTTAAGCGACTGCCTTCAGCTCAGGTCATGATCCTGGAGTCCCAAGATCGAGTCCTGCATCGGGCTCCCCGCTCAGTGGGGAGTCTGCTTCTCCCTCTGACCCTCTCCCCTCTCATGCTCTCTCTCACTCTCTCCCTCTCAAATAAATAAATGAAATCTTTAAAAAAAAAAATTTATGGAGGAACCATCAACTGTTTTTCGCAGCAGCTACACCATTTTATGATCCTGCTGGCAATGTATGAGGGTTCCAGTTTCTCCGCATCTTCACTATCACTGGGTATTTTTCTTTTTCATTTTCTTATGGCCTTCCCTAGTGGGTGTGAAGTGGTGTCTCGTGGTTTTGATTTGCATCTGCATTTAAAATTCATTTGCATTTGAGATGATGTTGGACATCTTTTCATGTGCTTTTTGGCCATTTGTGTATCTTTTTTGGAGAAATGTCTATACAACTCCTTTGCCCATTTTTAATTGTTTTGTGTTGTTGAGTTATGAGTTCTTTATGTATTCTGAATACTAGGCCATTATTGGATATATGACTTGCAAGTATTTTCTCCCATTCCATAGGTTATCTTTGTATTCTCTTGATATCGTCCATTGATGCACAGGTTCTAATTTTGATGAAGGCCAGTTTATCTATTTTTCTTTTATCACTTGTGCTTTTGGTATGCTATCTAAGATAGCACTGCTAAATCCAAAGCCATAAAGCTTTACCCCTATTTTCTTTTTTGAAGTTTCAGAACATAAGTTATAGCTTGTATATTTAGGTTATTGATCCATTTTGAGTTAATTTTTATATATGCTGTGAAGTAAGGGTCAACTTCATTCTTTTGCATGTGGAGATCCAGTTGTCCAGCAACATTTGTTGAAAACTAGTCCTTCCCCCTGAACGGTCTAGAAATTCTTGTCAAAAATCAGTTGATCAGGGCGCCTGGGTGGCTCAGTTGGTTAAGCGACTGCCTTCGGCTCAGGTCATGATCCTGGAGTCCCGGGATCGAGTCCCGCATCGGGCTCCCTGCTCAGCAGGGTGTCTGCTTCTCCCTCTGACCCTCTTCCCTCTCGTGCTCTCTATCTCTCATTCTCTCTCTCTCTCGAATAAATAAAAATAAAATCTTTAAAAAAAAAAAATCAGTTGATCATAAATGTAGAGGTTGGTTTCTGGACTCTCGATTCTATTCCATTGATTTATGTGTCTGTGTTTAATGCTAGTACCACACTGTTTTGATTGCTGTAGCTTTGTAGTAAGTTTTGAAATCAGGAAGGGTGAGTCGTCCAACTTTGTTCTTTTTTTTCCCCCCTCAAGATCATTTTGGCTCTTCAGACTCAGAGTTGAAGTGTTCTATCCTAAGGAAGCTGTAGGGGGTTTGGATAAGGTCCAAGGAAGACTAATTAAAATAATCATGCGTTGTAATAGGCTATTCTTATCAGTTTGGCTTCTCTGATGGATGCTGTCATCTGGAAGGAGGAGGGCTGAAAAGCAGTTTATGATCAAATTGTAAAGTCGTGAAGAAGAAGGGCTACGCGAGCTGGTTTGGGCACCTCATCATGGATACTATAAAGTTAGAAGGTTGCCCAGTGAGGTTTGGAAGAGGCAAGTTTAGTATACCTGAACAGGACAGTGCCCCATTCTGGTATGAAATCAATGAAGCTTATTATCCTCAAGGAGCGATTAATATAAGCTAAAAGTCATAAATACTGGAGCTTTAATATGTTTTAGAACATCTGTGGATCTTTATCTGCCAGGACAAATGTGGATGTTTTGCGGCTTGCTTCTTACCTTTTGAGGTTGGTCCCACCACCCTGTGCTCTCCCACACCCTGTCCCCTGGAGATGTGGTCTGGGGCGGAATAGTGGGCTGAGTGGCCGTGAGTCTCTGCCCGTATGGTGGCTCTTGGGAATTCCCACGAGCCACACCTTGCTGAGTGTCCTCGCAGTGGCTCAGAGAGAGGACCCAACCCCAGCGCCCTGCCTACGGTGGGGTTGTCTCTGCCGAGGCCCAGCTGTGTTAGTGCTTCCGTAACGTGCAACTTAGACAGAGGCTGCCCGAGTTGGGACTTGTTGGTCTTCCTCAAAACACAGCCTCTCTCATGAATCAAGTTTGCATCTACATCCTACCACATACCACCTTCTAATCGTATTTTGGAGCCACACTCAAATCCTGCATAGGTGGTTTTGTTTTTAGTTCCGGTTTGACTGACTTTTAATAACAAAATGCTGTGCTAGTGGGAATTTCATTCTGACCATTCTTGGGGGGGAGGGGCTGAGGGAGAGGAAGAGAGAGAATCCTAAGAAGACTCCACACCCCTAGCACGGAGCCTGACGTGGCACTCGATCCTACAACCCCTAGATCTTGGCCTGAGCCGAAATCAAGAGTCGGACACTTAACTAAGCCACCCAGGTGCCCCCTGGTTCGGACCACTTTTTAACTTGGTTGTGTCTCAAGTGATTTTGTTATTCCTCTGTGATTGGTTTTCCAAATTGTGTTATTTCTACTACATAACTCCTTGGTTGTGGAATACAGAGAGTTTTAGGTATATATTGTTTATATGCGTGTGTGTAGACTGATTTAACCTGATGAGTCACTATGAAGTAGATTATAAAGGGCTATTAGCATTCATTAGTCCAGATTTAGCTTTTCAAAGAGATCGCGATTAGGTTTATGATTTAGTGTACTAGTACATTTACAGTAAATTCAGATGTTTTTATAATTTTATTACTTATTTTGAAAAATGAATATTAACGGAAGACTAGCCCTAATGTCTGTCTTTAAAGTTCAGGAAAAATATATATAAAATTTAAAGCAGAACTTCCCAGTGTTGGATCAGTGATCCAGACAATGTGAATTTAAAAACAAACTGGATTCAAATTTCAGCTGGAGGACTTTAGAGGTCATCCAGTTCATTGCCTTCTTTCTGATGAATCATGAGGAGAATGAGGCTCAGAGAGGTTAAGTGACTTGCCCAAGGCCACACGGCTAGTTACTGGCAGAGCTGAGACTAGAATAGCAGTTTCTTACTGTAACTCGCTACTTCCTAATTAGTGGTTAAAGGGACGTTTTGCGGGTGCATGCCTGTGTGTGTGTGTGTGTGTTTGAGTCTTACATTTAGAGAAGAGATTAAAGTTTATTGAGCACCTATTTGCCGAGCACTTTTAAAATGCATGATTTCATACGGTTCTTACATAGTCCTGTAAAGTGATTATTAACAGTCCCACTTTACAGATTAGGAAACCAGGGTGCAGGAGGTTACTAACTTGCGCAAGGCCATGTGATTGGTGTTAGAGCTGCTACTTGAGCCTTGGGTCTTTCTGACCTGTTCCTGCCACCGTCACCCTGCTGTGGCTCTGGCAATAAGTAACTGAACCCTTTTCAGGGGTGTGGGCAGTAGTGATGGTTATCTTTTTCAGACTTCTTCCTCACTCTGTAAACTGTATGGATGTACACAGATGTGTGCAGAGCAAGTCCTTCTCCGAATACTCAGCGCTTAGCGGATGTGTGGCTAATCTTCCTACCATCTCTGTAAGATAAATGGTATTTTCTGGTTAGGCGGCTGAGGCCCAGATGGATTCAGGGACTTGCCTAACCCCTTATCACAAACACGCACGGCCCTGCTCCCAGTTCCGTTCTTCACCCCGTCTCACATAGATTTCACCACTTTTGTTCTTTCCTGTCTTACACCAAGATTGTTGAAGTACTTCCCAAAAATAATGAGCCACGTGTGGGTGTGTTCTCCAGAATGAATCACTGTGAAAGAGGCCATGAACCAACGAAGGGAGAGAAGAAGTATCTGGAATCAGAGGCTCTTGGCTCTCCTGTCTGCTAATTGACAGACTCTGAAGTGAGCTTTTTTTTTCAAAAGGCGGCTGCGGGTCTGGCCTGTGTGTCCCACTGTGCTCAGAATAGCCCTCTTAGAGTTACTCGTTTTCCCTTCTTGCTTCCCAAAATAGCCCCAATGCTGTTCTCTTTGCTGGATGTCATGGCACATGTATTGAGAGGTGTGCGCTCCACGGGGAACCCCTTTGTGCATGAATGTCCTCCCTGACGCAAAGGGCCGGGGAGGGGGGGCATTAGCTTCCTTGGATTACCGGTCAGGACTGCAGCGTGAGTAAAAGGTTTGGCTCGAGTATTCAGAGAGTTGCAGAAGTAAATTTGAGTTAGCAAGAAGAATAAGAGAGGGAGCAAAAAGAGGTATTTGGGGGGAAATGAAGAGGTTTCTTCGCCTTTCTTGTGTCTAAAAAGGGCTGGAATCGAAGTTTAGGAAGAACTGACTTTTAAAATTGCTTTTATGATGTGGATTCTAGTCTAAAGGGTACCTGCTTTAAACTTCCTGCCCTTAAAATAGAACACTACCCTCACCCTTCAGCAGGTAGCTGCGTGTTTTGGAATTTCTCCCAGAAGAAAGGGCTCTCTCTGATCAAAGGCCTTACGGTGAAGCTCCACAGTGGCGTTTACCTGTCTGTGTGCGCTCTCCTTTGTTTCTGTGGGTGGGAATGGCGACGGAGTGCGTCATTTACAGAAAGCCTGAGGAAGGGGGCTTGGGCACCGGAGATATTTAGAATCTGCCTTTGGAACTGAAAAGCCGAGAGATGCCTTCCAGGGTATTGCAGGAAGAGACAAAGATAGACTGTTTACAGCCTGAAGGGGTGAGTTTCAACAGGCTAGTTTTTCATGGGATTGGTCATAAACGTCTCTTCTCTGGGGGCCTTGGTTTGAATGTATTCCCACTTGGTATCCAGATAGTATTCACTGAGTGGCCAGTATGGGACTTGGGTGGGCTGCCCCCTCCATTCCCCGACAGGCAAATGCTTCATTCAGCAGCGAGTCCCAAGCCAAGTGTCCTCGTGGCCACAGCCATACTCCTGCCCGTTCTGAGAGGTCAGGGCTGGGTTAGGCTCATGGGAGACAGTGTTGGGGAGAACCGACTGCTGCTGTCTGTGCTATTCTTGTTAGATGGATAAATAAAGGATTTCAGATTCCAGGGCTGCTGAACTGGCTTTCAGAGGCACCAAATTCATTTACAGTAATTTCCTGTCAACAGTGCACACTTATGTATAATACACACCCAGCAGAACTCATTCGTCCCAGACATGATTGCACACACTGCCTATTTGGGGGGAAAAGAAAAAAAGCGTGCCTATGTGTGTATATATGTATAAAGCATATTTATATATTTTTATATGTGTATATATTATATATGCGTATATAATGTTTTCAAAGTGATATCCAGGGACCTTCCAGAGTAGTTTAAATTTATTGAACACTTTTTATGCATCAGCTCATTTGATCCTCACAGTAACTTTATGATGTAAACATTAATGTTATCCTCGTTGGAGATTATTCTTTTTGCGCCTCATGAGAGGTGCACCTGCCATGGACTTAAAGGGAGGAGGAGGGTGTTGGACTAGTGGGCGGGAAGCTTTTCAAAGGAAGTGATGGTCAGGCTGAATTTTAAAGGATTTGTGAGAAGTAGCCAGGAAAAAAAGCATTGCAGCAAAAGAATGTGTGAGAGCATGCATACTGCATTCAGCAAACTGTGGCATGCCTAGTGCCCAAGAACGGAGATGGGATTGAGGAGCCATCGTTGAGTGAGGAAGCCTGGGCCGTTTTGGAGGGAGGATGTAGGGGTGGGGCAGGAGGTGGTGTCCTGTATCCTCCAAGGGGCAGGTGTCTTCCTCTACATTTAAAGGAAAACTTCATTCCCAGCCACAAAATAATGTGTAATGAGTCTAAGGCAAAGTTTGAAAGGGGGTTTCTCTGTTTCTCATGGGCATTAGATAGGGCCACTTAGAAGAAAATGGTGGAGCTTGGAAGCCTGGTTTCCAAGCTGAATTGAACAGGCGAAAAGCTGGTGCTCCCATTGACAGTGCCATCTTTCTGGCCCTATCTCTATAAAAGCTCCTTATTTGGGAACATCCAGTGTGCTAAAGGATTATATTCTAAGTCTGGAAAAGGACCTAGGAGAAGATCTCACCGTTAATGTCAGTGTACTCCCAAATTTCCTGCAGCTCTGCAGTGTGCGTGTACTAGCTGCCTCCAGGCCAACTACACGTGTGAGACAGATGGGGCCTGCATGGTTTCCATTTTCAACCTGGATGGGATGGAGCACCACGTGCGCACCTGCATCCCCAAAGTGGAGCTGGTCCCCGCCGGGAAGCCCTTCTACTGTCTGAGCTCCGAGGATCTCCGCAACACCCACTGCTGCTATACTGACTTCTGCAACAAGATTGACCTGAGGGTGCCCAGTGGTGAGTGGACACCCTTGTTGGACTATTGGCTCATCCTGGAGGTAGGGCACCCCCGTCATCTCATCCTTCTCTACTCCTGCCCAATCCCTTTGTTTGGTGATATGTAGAAGTACCTTTTTGATGTTCCCCAAGGTCACAAGGGGATAGGATTCCTCCCCACTCAGGTTTGTAGACGAGAGGTCAGAGGAGACCGATGGTCAAGGTAGTCCCAGGGTTGAGAACTGTGTTCTGGCCACTGGCGGAGCCGCCATGGGCAGCTGGTAAGGACTGGGAGAATCAGGCAGGTATCCCCACGGGAGGGAATGGAGACAACCGCTGAGCTGTGTGAAGGCAGCTGCTGGGTGAGGGTGATGGCAAGGCGGGACGAGAGGCCGGAGTCGAAAAAGAAGGAGAGCAGTCAAGGCTGAGAGGATTAGCTGGCACCCCTTTTGCAAGCGTACCATTTAGAAGGCAGCACTGGGGAGAGCAGAAGAGGAGGGACTTAAAGCTGCCGGGGCTTAAAGCAGCTGTTCCGAGTGGAAGAGCAGAAGTTGGCCTGGGGCACTGAGGTGGGAGAGTCCCAGGAAATGCTGCGGATGACAGAGCGGCCTGTGAGTTGGACTGTTGAAAAGGGCTCCTCCGTTGGCGAGGTTTGCATCTAAGAGCACCGGGCAGACACACGGCCTGGTAAGACCAGGGAGGTCAAGGGCACCTTGAACACAGGCAGAGGGAAAGGGCATTTTCACGTGGAGGGAGGTGTTGGGGACAGATAAGGCCAGAGCTTTCCCGTGTTTTTACTGTGTTCTTTCCCTCTCCTCTCTCACTTGACCCAGGTCATCTCAAGGAGTCTGAGCACCCTTCCATGTGGGGCCCCGTGGAGCTGGTAGGCATTATTGCTGGCCCAGTGTTCCTCCTGTTTCTCATCATCATCATTGTTTTCCTTGTCATTAACTATCATCAGCGTGTCTATCACAACCGCCAGAGACTGGACATGGAAGATCCCTCATGTGAGATGTGTCTCTCCAAAGACAAGACGCTCCAGGATCTTGTCTACGATCTCTCCACATCGGGGTCTGGCTCAGGTACCGAGTCCTTTAGCGACTGTGTCTGTTGGCCTTCGTCACCAGTTCCCAGCAGGATAGAACGTTTGTGAAGGAGGCTGGGCCTTGCACTTGTTTCTGCCAGCATTGAGGCGTTTGGCTTCCTAATTCCCCTTCTTTTGAGTCTGATGTGTAATAAGATAATGGGTCCACAGAAAATCTTTCATTCCCTGGGATTCCAAAGGCCAAGTACAAAACTCTCCATTCCAGAAACCCCGCCTCTCCAAGTCTTGCGACTATACGTGTATTAAAATTCACCTGGTTCCACCTGAGCAGTGGAGTGCTCAGTGGAAGGTCCCCTTTGGAGAAACAGGAGTGTGCCAGGTTTCTGTGAGGTGGTGACAGCTAATCATTGATCTCCGAGCAACCACAAGGGGAGTTTAAGGACACTGAGGAAAGCTAAGAGCTGGGGTTTGGTGAATCATTGACTTGTACCAGTTGCCCGAGGGTTTTCTGGTGCGGGTTACATAAAGGCAGCCTGGGCTTATGGCATGGGATCAGTACCATTCGTTTCCTGCACTGCCTGTTGGTAACCGACTCTTTCTTAGACGAGGGAATTGAACCGAACCCTGGACCTTCGTGTGAGCCCGGAATTCAGGATAAAGGGACTGGGGCTGCTCAGGTCTCAGGGCATAGCTCAGCTAGCTATTAGATGTGAAACGACTGCAAAAGAGTCTTTTTATGAAGATTAGCAATTATTTTAGTGATGGTGATATTCTGTCCTTGTAAGAAAGAAAGAATAATCTGCAAAGGTCTCTATTGCCGTTCTAGCTAAAACATACAGAATCATATTGTGAGAATTTTGTGTGTGTTTATGTATGTTTCCTTGCCGTGTGACAAAGGCTATTGTTCTGTAGGGAAATTATGCCATCAGTCATGGCCAGACATTCCTCCTTGAACACAAGGAATACTTTGAGCTGTGACATCTCCTGAATTTCAGTGGTTTTGCCTTTATTAAGCTCTGCAGTAGAGAGTGCCAAAATGATGGATATATTTAAAAGCTGCATATTTTTAGGAAGAGAGAAAATATATGTCTTGTTCTTTGCTGAAAGAGGTAGGGCAGTGGTTAGAACTGCCTGACTGACTCTGCGACTTGATTTGCTGTCACAGGAGGGTAGCTCAGGTCTTCTGGAGTCCTTTTTAAGATCAGAACTAGCTGAGGCTAGCAAAGGTCCATGGTGGTTACTTAGTCATCTGGAGTAAAATGACTAATAACTGTTTCTCCTTGGAGGTTCTAGTCCCTTCTTAGTTCCAAATATGCAGAGCTTTGAAGGTGTTGGAGTTTTAATACTGTGGTTTTTAAAGTGATAAGTGCTTATGTGACTTTCAAGTCCCTTCAACAAGTACATGTTGAATACCCTCTGGGTGACACAAGGTAAACAAAGATGAAAACGGCTGACCCAGGATTGGATAGAAAACATGGGGATTGCTGGGAAAGGGTCTCATGGGGGAGGATGCTTTTAAAGGGGTCCTGAAGACAGAGTTGGAGGTTTTAAGAGAGGTAAGAGGACAGGGGACATTCCAGGCCAAGGAAAACCCCTTGAGCAAAAGCACAAAAAGGCATGAAAGTTCACCATGTGTTTCGGGGACGATATAGAGGCCGGCATGCCCTGCCCACGCTGGGGGGTGGGGACTGGCAGCACAGCTCAGGTGGGCAGGACCTTGGGCGCTGTGCTTTATCCAGTACGGCGAGAGGCATCTACCGGAAGTTTTCATGTGGCAAAGTAAATGTTCATATTTTCCCGTGGAAGGCATTCTGGCAGTGGGGTGGAGGTTGAATTCACTCATTCACCAAGCTCCTGTTAGCGAGGGCAGGGTGAGGCAGGGCTGTGTGTGGGTGTGCAGGGCAGGAACAGGGCGACGAGGGAGGTGGAAAGACCAGTCGGGAGTCTTTTAAAGACGGTCCAGAACGTGGATGGGCACAGGGGGCATGGGGGGGGGGTCCGATGTGAGAGACATTTGGGGGGTTCTGTAGTGTTGTAGTTAAAAGCAAAAACTTTGGGAGTCAGACAGTTCTAGACTTTAATCACTTCTTTGCCACTTGCTGCCTGTAGGAGTTCAAATGAGTTACTTAACTTTCCCTTTTGAGCCTTAGTTTTCTTGTCTGTAAAATGGGGATAATAATACCATCTACCTTATAGGTGGTTGTGAGGAAATGAGATAATTTAAAGCTTTATCATAGTTTCCAGTGCATAGTAAGCCTCCAGTAAATGGTATTCACATCCCCAGGACTTAGGGATTAATAACATGTGTATTTGGTCTGGGAGAGGAAGTGAGAGAGCTCCCAGTCAGTCTGATGGTAGGTGTGATTGGGTAGGTAGGGGGACTCCTGAAGGGGGCAAATGAAGCAGTAAATGAGCCCTGTGAAGACAGTAAAGTCACTCTTAGGATGAGCGTGGGAAGTCTCTCGTTGCGTATCAGGAGCTTGACCTGAGCAGAGCTTTGGAGAGTGGTGGGAACCTTGTGTGCCCACCACAGTTTGGCTCTCTTGGGCCGTGCAGCACCGCCCTCTAGTGGCCGCAGAGCAGAGCACCCCCAGCCCTCAAGCCCCGTCTTTCACCTTCTCTGCCCTCTTTCCTCTTCCGTTGGCCGGCATAAAGCAGATGTGGGTGGACTGGCCCACGAGAGGCCGGCTGCAGAGCTGGTGAATCTGGTCAGACGTTGTGTGCGAATCTGTCACCCATACTAACTGAAAGGAAGAATTGCTTAGATAAGGCACAGCTGATCTCATGCATTTCCCTTTCTGTGTTGGCTCACTGCCAGTCACTGCCTGGCTTAGCCCTCTGCCGGCTCACCTAGCCATGTGCAGAGGCAGCCACAGCTCTCCTTGGTCAGGGGACCGGGGTGGCTTGGAGGCACTGTGTGGTAATGGCCTTTCCAGTGTGGCAGTGAGAGTGGGTGTTGGAAAGTTCAGCAAATTTACAATGTCCGCTTTCTTTCCATTCTTTGGTCCACAGGGTTGCCCCTTTTTGTCCAGCGCACAGTGGCCCGAACCATCGTTTTGCAGGAGATTATTGGCAAGGGCCGGTTTGGGGAAGTGTGGCGTGGCCGCTGGAGGGGTGGGGACGTGGCTGTGAAGATTTTCTCTTCTCGTGAAGAACGGTCTTGGTTCCGGGAAGCAGAGATATACCAGACAGTCATGCTGCGCCACGAGAACATCCTTGGATTTATTGCTGCTGACAATAAAGGTAACGAGCTGGATTTGGATATAGGGGCTCCCGAAGCCAGCAGTAGCCCCAGATGGATGGGGTGACTGGGGAAGTTGAACAGCTCTGGGACCGCCTTCATAGTTATTACCCATAGAAGGAGAATCTGAATAAGCTGATAGTCTTTCCAACTTCTCTTCTATGAAAAGCTTATACCGAAACCCAGGCTATTAAGCAGATAAACAAGATAAACCCCTCATCCTACCTGCTCACTTCCCATTTGTAACACCCCTTCCCGTCTACCCTAGTGTAGTCCCCGCCCGGGCTTCACTTAGTTTACCTTGCAAATCACTGGAATGAAGAATTGTGCCCTCACCTCCTGCCAGGGCAGGGTAGCCCAGAGAAGTATGTGGTCCACGCTGTGTGACATAATCCGCATCATAGACACGTGTAGTGGTTCCCCCAAGTGTTACCTCCTCATGATCGTTCAGGCTCAGCTTTTGGTCTGCTTGGACCTGAGGTCCCTTGGTTCCTTCTTCCTCTCCCTTCTGATTTTTCTTTAGTTTCTGAGTCTCTTGTGTGGCCAGGCACGTCCTTGTTTTCGAGGGCTTCACTGAGCGGCAAAGCGAGAAGTAAATGAATAGTTAATTCCAGGAAGTAATCAAACCGCAAGCTCTTCTAGTTTGCACAGATTGGGGGTGAGGTGGGGGTCGGGGAGGTCACACCTGAGCTTGATTGAGGCTGGGGTGTCAGGAGTCGGTGAGGAAGAAGACTCAGTGGGAAGGGCACTGCAGACACACACGTAGAGGTGAGGGGTGCCTGGGACCCTGCAGCTCACAGGCATGGCTCCGTGGGGAGAGAGGCAGCCGATGGCAGACCACGGAGGGCCTCCTCAAGAGCATTACCTTTTATTCTGAGGTAGTGGGTGGTGCTTGGACTTGGACTCATTCAGGCACTCACATCCCTTGACCACTGTGGGGCAAGACCTCTGCCCACTGCGCCGATGGTCACACAGGGGCCCCGCAGTCCTTGCCCTCGGAGCTCCCGGAAATCGGAGGCAGCAGGTGCGTGGGCAGGTAGCGGAGAGTCTGGGAGTTGGAAGGACTATGCGGCCTTCGTGTGTGCACTGGAGAAGAGTCGCCCTGGCAACTGGGACAGAGGCTGCTCCCAGGACATGGCAGTTTCTAGAAGTTCGTGTCTCCAAAGCCTATGGAAGATGCTAAGTGTTTATTTTTCCTTCCTAAGACAGCAGCAGACTGCCGATTCCTCATATTACTGCGGGGGTTTGTCGTGGCCTCAACTTACCCCAAGCTGAAGAGGCTCGGACTCAAACACAAGGGAGGAAGGGGAAGAGAGAGTGTTTACCCCCTTTGGGTAAATTGTGCTTTTTTTAAAACAGCAGCATCTTTTGAGAACACTTCAATTTTACATACAGTTTAAAGGCTCAGAAGATGTCTTCCCTTTTAACTTGGACTTACTGCCAGGGTCCTCACGACTTCGGGGCTGGTTGGAGCGCAAGAGTGCTATGCTGGGTGGGCCCCTTGTTCGTAATCAGGGAAGCTGAAATTGGTGCCGTTCCAAGAGCCACTCCCTTTATTGATTCTGGCAGCTCGTGTGAAAAGGGATCTGGCTGTAAAAACGCACATTAGGGCCAAGGGAGGAGAAAAATCGGACTCCTTCGTTTTTGCCTTTTTAGCATGATATATATATAGTATAGTGTCCCGGAACTAATACCGGCCTAGAATTTGGAGATCTCAATCCAATTTCCAGTCTTCCCATTGACAGCAGTATAACCTAATTAGATTACCAGCTTTGGGTCTTTCTTTTTTTCCTTCCTCCTTCCTACTACATGCTGCCTCTCATCCCCCACCCCGTATAAAAGTGCGTGCTGTCCACCTTCCATTGCTCTTCCGAGGATAAGATGACCTCTCTCGAATACTTGGAATTGTGCTCTTCGTGCACTGAAAAGCATTTTTTTGGTCTGGAATACAGAAACGCACGAAGGAGCTCTTTGCTCTTCTCCCAGAGAGCGAGCTCATGGCCTGGTAGGAGCCGTGGACTGAAAGGGAACATAACGGATGAGCCAGCTGCTGGGGCTAGGCTGTGCTCACAGGATCTTGGAGCACAGAGGAGGGTCTGCGAAGCCTTCCTCCTTGGCAGCGGTGGGTGCAGTCAGCCTTGGTTTAATGAGTAGATGAGTAGGTCTTGTTCAGACTCCGACAGCCACCTGCAAGAAATAAGGGAGCACGTCTAAGGAAGAATGTTGTTCTTCTGTCCTTCTTGGACCCCCACACTGGTGACCAAGTGTAGATGAAACAGGTATAGAGGGGGAGTCTCAGGAGGTATGGCGGCAAGAAGCGTGAATTCAGGAGTCTAGTTGGAGTTCATGTTGTTCACCTATTCTTTCCTGCCTTAACCTTTTTGCTGGTAGTTGTGCCTCTTCCAGAACTCCTCTGTGGTTCTCTGCAGATAATGGCACCTGGACACAGCTGTGGCTCGTCTCAGACTACCATGAGCATGGCTCCCTGTTTGATTATCTTAACCGATACACGGTGACAATCGAGGGGATGATTAAGCTGGCCTTGTCTGCGGCTAGCGGGCTAGCACACCTGCACATGGAGATTGTAGGTACCCAAGGTGAGTGGACCCCGCCGAGGGGCAGGGAAGATGAGTAGCCTTTGAAAGCCGGTACCATCCTCATTTAGTTCCCAGAACTCCTTTTTACTGAGGAAGTTGGAGGTGGGCCTCAGGAACTGTGGCCTAATCTAAGGGAGAGAGGTTTGAGTTTTTCTTGAGAACAGAAGGTGTCTCCAGTGGGGTCTTTTGACCTCCGTCTTTAGAATTTCTTCAGGGGCTCTGGAACATAAAGATTCCATTGTTTGTCCTCTGTCGGCCCAGCATGATTGTTGGGTGGTGAGCTAGTATTCTGTCATCCCAGAAGTCCACCACACACACGTAAAAGAATGGTGCCCAGGAGAGAAAAGGAGCACAGTTTGCCAATGTCACGTCACACATTTGCTCTTGGCAACAGGTGGCTTACGGACTGCATGCTGCATAAGACACTGGGCTTTACTAGCCTAGGAAGGTTCTCCTGGAGGAAACAGACCTCAGGCTTCCTTGTATGTTGACTGTGACATCAGCTCTTTGGGGGATCATGGTTCTCGTCCAGGCGGCAGGTGTGCTGTGCTCCCTGATTTCTGGTTGACCAGGGCAACGGCTCTTGCTGGCCTTGACGGAAAACCGTTAACGTTTGATCCTGTTCTTAACCCCTGTGTGATAGTAGCAGGCCTTATCTTCGCCTCTTTGACAATAAAAACCTAGCCAGTATAGCAGTTTTTCTTGGAATTCCTTAGTTCTGTCCTGGAGCGTATCAGTCCGGGCAAAGGCAAGGAGAAGGAGTGAGAGTCCCTAATGCGCATGCCCTCAGCTCTCCACTGACCTACATTCATGCGTTTAATCCTCACATCACCATCGAGTAAGGACTGGGGTAGCCGCGTCTTACCGACAAGAAGACAGAGGTGCAGACGGGTTAAGTTGCTTTTTTAGGGTTACCGGGTTAGTGGGAGGCAAAGCCAGAACTCGGACCCACACAGTCTGGCTGCAGAGTCTGTGCTTTTCACATTTATGCTATCTGTCTGTAAAGATCCTTATTTTTTTCTCTGCCAGGGAAGCCTGGAATTGCTCATCGAGACTTAAAATCAAAGAACATCCTGGTGAAAAAAAATGGCATGTGCGCCATTGCAGACCTGGGCCTGGCTGTCCGCCATGATGCGGTCACGGACACCATCGACATCGCCCCAAATCAGAGGGTGGGGACCAAGCGGTAGGAAGGCCCTGGGCCTCTGCCTTTGCCCTACCCTTGTACTGAGGAGCGCATGGGCACCCTTTCCCGTCTCTAAAAGGAGAAAGAGGCGTGGAGGAGGAGGTGTGGCCCTTGCTCTCCGACAGCCGAAAGCTGAATTGAAGCCCCGCTCCACACACTGGAAAGCTGAGCTGGTTGCATCTAACAGATACGGGTGCTGTCAGCACGGCTCTAGAGAACTGCAGACATGTAGATCTTCTTAGTACTGGGCAAGGGGAGGCAGCAGAGAGAGAATCTGGAGAAAGATTCAGAAGGGGGACAGGCTGCAGGCTTGGCTGGGACAAAGAGGAAGAATGTGCAGTCCCAACAGGTACTTGTTCGGAGGCGGGGAGTGTGTCAGAGAGCAGGTTTGCCAAGCTCGAGCGGAGGTGATCTAGGGTGGAGATTGGGGGCACATTTAAGATTATGGGCCTACTTCCTGCTTCATACAGAAGTGAAGTAAGAAGGAATTATGATTGTAGATTGACTTCATGAGTTGGAAATGGAAATGTCTTGTAATGGGACAGAAGAGGAGGTCTATTTATCTGCCAAATTTCAGTGAATTTCATTCAAGTGTGCTGCTGCTTTCCCCCCTTCCTTCTGACCTGAATGGGTGCAGCTCCCCTGGGGGCGGGGGTTGGGAGGGTGTGGGGAGTGGCTCGAATAGTACTAATTAACTGAGGGGCACCTTGATGATCACCTAGAATTAATTTTCATTTTTATTTGTAATTAGGTAAGATAACAAATTCAGAGTGAAATATAAATTCAGCTCATCACTGTGGCTACATTTAATAAAGTCCAAGACACCAGCAGCAACCAGATATTATGGATGGCCCTGTGATCCACAGTACAAATACTTCTGCCAAGAAATCAAAACATGCTTAAAATACATCTCGATGGTTAAAAAAAATAGAAGTACAAATAAGAGCAGCCTAGTATCACCCAGCCTCTGCTGAAGTGTTTAGATTCAAATCCAAAACATGGGAGTTTGCAATAAGGAGAATTGATCACTTCCTCCTCCCCAAGGGGCATTCTTAGGGTGATGCCTTTCCACATTTAGAGGGCCCCTGAATCACTACTTGGATTTAAACAAAGAAATCACCCTTTTCTTGGCATGATCTTGTTTCCTTTGCTATTGCAGATACATGGCCCCCGAAGTGCTCGATGAAACCATAAACATGAAGCACTTCGACTCCTTCAAATGTGCTGATATCTATGCCCTCGGGCTTGTATACTGGGAGATTGCTCGAAGATGCAATTCCGGAGGTACCTTTCTTTTTTGCCTTCTCTTGCTCCTACCTCCCAGTGCAGGTTTTCGGGTCACGTGAGGGTGCTCACCTGAGGGTGCTCACCCGAGGGTGCTGGTGTTTCCGTGCTTCCTTTCTCTTTACAGCCTGTTGGGTGTCTAGTGCCAGAGCCCATCACACTTAGGGTTCTCATCAAAGATGAGGGAATCCTGGAGGTGGTTGTACTAAAGGAGTGTTGATTTGTTGAATAGTGCTTTTTTAAAAATTGTATTTATCTTTTTATTTTTTTTTTATTTTTATTTTTTTTAAAGATTTTATTTATTTATTTGACAGAGAGAGAGACAGCAAGAGCAGGAACACAAGCAGGGGGAGTGGGAGAGGGAGAAGCAGGCCTCCCGCAGAGCAGGGAGCCCGACGTGGGACTCGATCCCAGGACCCTGGGATCATGACCTGAGCCGAAGGCAGACGCCCAACGACTGAGCCACCCAGGCGCCCTGTATTTATCTTTTTAAATTATTTTTATTTATTGGGACACCTGGGTGGCTCAGCCGCTAAGCACCTGCCTTCGGCTCAGGTCATGATCCCCAGGGTCCTGGGATTGAGCCCCGCATCGGGCTCCCTGCTCCTCGGGAAGCCTGCTTCTCCCTCTCCCACTCCCCCTGCTTGTGTTCCCTCTCTTGCTGTGTCTCTCTCTGTCAGATAAATAAATAAAATCTTTAAAAAATATATTTTTACTTATTTATTTAATTTGAGAAAGAGAGAGAGAGAGAGTTGGGGGGGGGGGCAGAGGGAGAGAGAGACTCTCAAGCAGGCTCCACGCCCAGCATGGAGCCCGACTCGGGACTCAGTCCCAGGACCCTGAGATCATGACCTGAGCCGAAATCAAGAGTCGAACACTTAACCAATTGTGCCATCTAAGTGCCCCTGTTGAATAGTTGTTTTACGTTGTGGTAACCATTCCAGAGGCTTGTTTGGCTTGTTGTTCTGTTTTAACACATTGTCCTTATTGATCCTTGGAGGTTGGGAAAGCCCTGGGCAGGAATAGCACAGGACCAGTGCAGGGGCTCTCCTTTACATGAGAGGCAGTATGTTCTGACACCAGGTCTCAAGCCACAGTGCTGGGGTTTCATTGATAAAATAATGGTGGCAATTTCTGAATTTGGAACAGAAAGTTTATTAACATATAAAAGTTTTTCAAAATGAGTTTTTTTGTTCTGTTATTTTTTCTTACACCTTTAGCATTTGTACCTGCTCACCCATGTCAGAATCCAGTGAAAGGTAGTGTCAGATCTAGCAGGAAACATTTTTTATCATTAGCTTAGTGCATCAGTATTATACAGTGACTTCTAAGTGTTCTGCCATGTGAACAAGTTCAAGAACCACTAGAACCTTTTTCTCAGCCGTTTATCTCTGATGTAAAAGATTCCAGGTCAGTGGAAATGAAATAAATTAAAATTAAATGAACTGGTAAGTCTTCCAGCAGAACCCTCTTCTGTTTTACTGCCCTTTTCCCTCTCTCATATGTTTGGGAAGATTCCCATTATGGAGCAGGCACCCAGGTATTATTCATGGAATTGCACATCTAACGTTTTTTTAAATTTATTTTTTAAGTAAACTCTACCCCCCAGTGTGGGGCTCAAACTCATGATCCTGAGATCAAGAGTCGTGTGCTCTATTGACTGAGCCAGCCAGGCACCCCTAAAATTTTGATCATTGTATACAGATAAAACATAAGAAAAATCTGGTCACACCATCCAGAAATTGGGGCTAAGTATTCTAACAATACTAATATTTATTCGCTACTCGCTGTGTATGAACTCATTTCATCTGTACTGTAAAACCTAAGAGGTGGGTACTGTTATTTTCATAATTTTGCAGATGAGAATGAGTCACAGTGAAATTAGGTAATTTGTCCAAGGTCACACCAAATTACTAGGATTCAAACACTGGCAGACTGAGGCCAGAGCATAGGTTCTCATCTACCCCTTAGATAATTATCAAGTCAGACCCTATTTACAAATCTGTCCCATTAGCTCAGAACAGTAGAATTTTTCCTGGGAAAGGGCATGGGAAAGTTACATTGGATTTTTTAAATTAGCTTTTTATTATGGAAAGTATTTTAGTTTATAGCTCTAAAAGATAAGGACTTAAAAAATATAACACTGTCACTTTATTTTTTTTTAAAGATTTTATTTATTTATTTGAGAGAGAGAGAATGAGAGATAGAGAGCACGAGAGGGAAGAGGGTCAGAGGGAGAAGCAGACTCCCTGCTGAGCAGGGAGCCCGATGCGGGACTCGATCCCGGGACTCCAGGATCATGACCTGAGCCCAAGGCAGTCGCTTAACCAGCTGAGCCACCCAGGCGCCCCTAACACTGTCACTTTAAAAAGTGAATAGTAATACCATTTAACCAGTCCGGATTGAGATTTCCCCAGTTGTCTCCAGATTTTTTTTGAACAGTTTGTTCAAATTAGGGTTCAAATAACAACTGCAGTTGATTGATACACATCTTTTTTTTTTTTTTAGATTTTATTTATCTGACAGAGAGAGACACAGCGAGAGAGGGAGCACAAGCAGGGGGAGTGGGAGAGGGAGAAGCAGGCTCCCCGCGGAGCAGGGAGCCCGATGTGGGACTCGATCCCAGGACCCGGGGACCATGACCCGAGCCGAAGGCAGACGCCTAACGACTGCGCCACCCAGGCGCCCCGATTGATACACATCTTAAGTCTCTTATAATCTGCGGGTTCCCCCTCCACTTTTTTTTCTTCTGCAGTTTATTTTATTGGAGAATCCAGGTCATTTGCCCTGTAGTTTTCCTCTCTAGATGTTGCCAGTAACCTTTTCTTGGCATTCACGTGTCCTGCTATTCCTGTGGACTTCCTGTGACAGTTACATCTAATGACTAGATTCACACACACACCCCTAATTTTTTTTTCCCAAAGTTGTTCTGTTACCAGGCACATAATGCTGGTTATTTCTCTTTCTCTGTCTTTTTTTATTTAATTTTTTAAAAATGTTTTATTTATTTATTCATGAGAGAGAGAGAGAGAGAGAGGCAGAGGGAGAAGCAGGCTTCCCACTGAGCAGGGAGCCCGATGTGGGGCTCGAGCCCAGGACCCTGGGATCATGACCTGAGCCGAAGGCAGACGCTTAACCGTCTGAGCCACCCAGGCGCCTCTCCTTGTCTTTTTGTGATGTTTACAGCCATCAGTGATCATTGTCCAAATCCAAATTCATTAGAGGTTGAAAAATGCCAGTATTCTGATACTGTCAATCCTCAAATACTATCTAGATTTCTTTTTTATTTTTTTAAGTTTAAACAATAATTTTTTCTTAAGTAAACAAACTCTACTCCACACATGGGGCTCAAACTCACAACTCCAAAAGTCGCATACTCTCCTGACTAAGCTGGCCAGGCGCCCCCAGATTTCTTCTTTAAAGAGAAACTTCCCCTAACCGTTTGGCTACCAAGATATGTAATTTGAATAGGGAAGGCAGGAAAAACACTTGATTCTTTCCATTTATGTACCATTTTTCAAAACAGTCAGTTTGTTCCCTCTCACCCTGCAAAGGTGACCTGAGGTTTTTGGTGCCCTTTTTCTTTTTCTTTTTTTTAGTATCGTGAACTGGTAGATTTAAAGTATTTGCTTCCACTGAAATGATTAATTAGTCCTGCTTTTGCTTAAATGTTCTCATCTTTGGCCACTTGGGAGCTTTCCAAGTCGGTGCCTTTTGACATGACCTCAGTAGTCTTTGATAGTTTGCTTGCTTTTGGTATGACGGAGATGTTCCTGGCTAGTCCCATTCCTGGAACCCACCCCCCTCTCCAAGGAGCCTTAGCTCCTCTTAGTGGGAAGTGGTATTTACAGATCACAGTGTAAGTGTTGTCATAGGTTGTTGAGTACTGCCCTCCTTCTGTTGATAACTCACGTGGCTATTTTCTTTTCTCCCAGGAGTCCATGAAGAATATCAGCTGCCATATTATGACTTAGTGCCCTCTGACCCTTCCATTGAGGAAATGCGAAAGGTCGTATGTGACCAGAAGCTACGTCCCAACATCCCCAACTGGTGGCAGAGTTATGAGGTAGGAAGCTTCCCAGCCTCCTGTGGCTTTTCCATCTGCTGGGTTTTTCTACTTTAGAAAAAGGGTTTCCTAATTTAAAAAAAAAAAGAAAAGAAAGGGGTTTCCCAACAAGGAGGCTGTGCCCAGAGGTAACCCCTGAGTGTGTCAGTTATACACTACTACGTGCTGTTGTATACTAAGCCCTGAGGGGTCATGGTGCCTTGTTCTGGGCACTGTAGGGTCCCCTTGCCTATGGACAGCCTAGTAGAAGAAAAAGCTGTGTCTTGGGGATCAAGCCCAGAGAGGTAGTCAACAAGAGACAGAAACAAAAACAGAGCGGGAACTGTTAGACCTGTCTAACTAGAAAAATGGTTCTGGAAGCACAGGGGTGAGCCGAGCTCTGCGGAAGAGTCGAGAAGAGGCATCCATGAAAGACGCTCGGCCTGGGTGTAGAAAAACGGCAGGACGGGACTTAGCGAGAAGGCATGTCTGTGAGGGAGGCGGCCTTTCTAAAAACTCAGAAGGGAGGAGGGTGTGGAGGGTTGGGATTTGGGAGAGACGGCAGCTGAAGTGAGGCGGGGACAGCATTTGGGGGGGAAATTGAAATGAGGACAAACTTATGATACAGGTTGCTAATAAACACAGCATTCTGGGGTCTTAGAGTCTTCCGGGGGAGCAGGGTTTACCAAGCCAAGTGCACGTGGGACTCCTTGGCCCTGGTGGCTCTGCTTTTAGGGACTAGAACCACTAGAGGGCATCTGTGCATGTAAGAACAAAATCACTTGGTTCGCGTTTGAGGTGATGTCTTCCTGTTGCGTAATAGAGCAGCATTTTCCAAAATGTTCCTCGGAACCCTCAGGTCAGGGTTTCCGAGGATAAGGGTGAGGCTGAAAAAGCTGGTCTTTAGCTGCCTGTGTCCCACACGCCCTCCAGTCAGTTTTTGAAACTTTGAAATTTTGAAAACCATTGGCCCAGGTTAGCAACTGGGGACGTCTGGGGCCCTCAGGGTTAGAGGTCTGTAAGCGACCTTCCAAGTCCATCTCTTGACCTGACCGCAGTGGGCGCCTGTGTAGTCCAGGCAATGGCAGTGTAGCTTTCTGCCTCTGACAGGATTGCTTTTCAGGGGCCACTTTCCTGCTTTTCACCCTCAGTCTGTGCCTATGAGGCGTGGGGTCGCAGCCATGCGCATGCTTGTGCCGAGGTGCGCCCCTGTTGTGCCTGGTTCCTGGGCTCCTTTAAAAAACACAGTTAGTACAGAACCATACAAATGGATTCTCCAACCTGACAGAAGTGGTTTTCGGACCCCTGGCTATTTCGGGTAGCCCCATCCAGAGCACCCCGGTGGTGGGCCGGCTGAGTGCACTTGCAGGGCAGGCCTCCCCTTGCCAGGCACGGCATTCTCCTGGCCCCTCTGAGGAAGGGAGGGCCGGGCGGAGAGGGAAACTTGCAAAGCACTCCGTGGGCTCCGAGGAGGTGGTCAGGAAGGCCTCCCGGGGCAAGGGTCGGACTGACGCCATCTGGATCTCCCCGCGCAGGCGCTCCGGGTGATGGGGAAGATGATGCGGGAGTGTTGGTACGCCAACGGTGCGGCCCGGCTCACCGCTCTGCGCATTAAGAAGACCCTCTCACAGCTCAGCGTGCAGGAAGATGTGAAGATCTAAGCCTCTCCCTCCCTTGCACGCAGCCCCGGGCGGCAGGAACTACACACAGAGCTGCCCTGTTGAGCGTACGATGGAGGCCTACCTCTCGTTTCTGCCCAGCCCTCTGTGGCCAGGAGCCCTGGCCCGAGAGAGGGACCGAGCCCGGGAGACTCCCTCACTCCCATGTTGGGTTTGAGACACAGACACCTTTTATATTTACCTCCTGACGGCATGGAGACCCTGAGAGCCAACGGTGTGGAGAACTCGATGCCACAACTCGAACTGGCTGTGGTGGGAAGTCCCGCAGAGCCCGGGGCACCTGGCGGGCGGCCGGGAGTACCCAGGAGAAGCCGAGTGTCGCCAGTGCCCAGCAGCACTGAGGGTTTTCCTCCGGGGACCAGCCAACCCCAGCACTCCGAGGTGGCCCAGAGGCACCGCAAAGTACCGCCCCCTCTCACAGGCAGCTCTGGACCCGGGGCTCCCCTCCTCCCTCCCGCGGACATTTGGAGGGACCGCCAGTGGGGACAGGGTCTGCCGCCTGTCTGTCCAGCCGTGTGTGTGTGTGTGTGTGTGTGTGTGTGTGCGCGCGCGCGCGCGCGCGCGCACGCGCATGTGCCGAGGTGCGTCCCCTGTTGTGCCTGGTCCGTGCCACGCCCTTACACAGGTGTGTGTGTATGTGTGTGTCTGTAGGTGCGCACTTACCTGCTTGAGCTTTCTGTGCATGTGCAGGTCGGGGGTGTGGTTGTCATGCCGTCTGTGTGCTGGTGCCTCTGTTCTGTAGTGAGCAGCATCCAGTTTCCCTGGTGCCCTTCCCAGAGGTCTCTCTCCCGGCCATGAACCCCAGAACCCCCATGCCACAGTGGGGCTCCCTGCCCAGCAGGCTGCTCCGCCCACCCCTGTGTCAACACCTCCATTTCAGACTGTGGAACCAAAGCTGGCCCAGTTGTCCATGTCAGGCGAGGCTTTTGGGTCCAAATGTGAGGCGGGGGTGGGGGAGGGGCTGGGCGGAGAAAGAATCTTGGCAGAAGCCTCGGGTGTTGTGGTCAGTGGCAACCATGGGAAATGAGCCAGCCCAAGGGCATCGTCCTCAACGGCATCAAGGAAGGGCCAAGGGATTTGAAGCCCACATCGTGGGACTCAGATTGGAATGTCACATCTGTCTTTCATATCCCAGATTCTGGAAACAGCAGTGTATATTTTTGGTGGTGATGGGTTTAGGGTGGGGAAGGGAGAGGGGGGCAAGGAGTGGGGAGGGAGTCGGGGGTGGGAGGGAGGCATCTGCATGGGTCTTTTACTGGATTATCTGATCACAGTGGAGGGAAGATGTGAGACTTGCACCCACTTCAGGGGCCCTACGAAAGGGAACAGCCCGAGCCAAATCTGTTCTTTTAACCTGAGTATAGTATTTAATGACGTCTAGAAGCACGGTTGTGGGTGGTGGTTTGCTCAGCATATCTTAGGTATATAATAACTTTGAAGCCATAACTTTTAAACTGGAGTGTTTTGGTTTGTTTTCTTCCTTCTTTCCTTCCTTCCTTCCTCCCTTCTTTCTTTTTCTTTTTTTTCTTTTCTTTCTTCCTTCCTTCCTTAATTTTATTGGAAGGATCTGAATTTTAACTTTTTTTAATATTGTTAAGTTTTTATAAAAGGAAAACCATCTCTATGTGATGATTACCTCTCAATCTCTTTGTTTTTAAAGAAATTCCTACAAAACAACGACAAAAAAAAAAAGATCCAATCAAACGCACATAGCTCAATCACACTGGAAATGTTTGTCCTTGCACCTGAGCCTATTCTCACTGAGCAGCGAGAGTTCCTCCCTCTTTGCCCTGGAGGTTAGTCTCTCTTGCACTGTGCGCCCCCCTCCCAGCCCCCAGTTCTGTGAGTGGTTTTTGCATCAGGACCCTAGACTTTTGTGCATTGTTCAGCTGGTTGCCCCTTTTCCTCCAGGCATGTATTTAACAGATGTTTGCTGAGTGTCTGTTGTGTGCCAGGCACTGTGCTGGGCACTTGGAATACATAATGTGAGCAAGACAGACGTGCGTCTCCCTCTTGGAGCACTGAAGAAGGGGCTGAGTCAAATTAGTGGGTGCCTGTTTCAAGACCAGAAGTTTGTATAGTTAGTTCTGAGAGCCTTTTGAGCCTGGAATGATTGCTCTTAGAGAAGACCACTGAGGAGCAGGATGCCTCCCCACCCCAAAGAGCCTGGTGGTGGGCAGTGAGACCCTAAATCACTGCATTCATTCTAAGCCCCCCTCCTGCCCCCAGGGGAGGCATATGATGTATGCAGCCTGAGAGCATGCCCACCTCCAGCCCAGTGATTCTCTGCCAAAGCTTGTGGAGGAGGGGCGAGTCTCTCCCTGCTTACATGGGTCTCCCAAATGCTCCTGGTCTTCCTATTTATTTTCTTGATGTGTTGCTTCTTTCCTTGCATTAAAGGAGATCTTTGCCTCACCCTTTGGGCCAATTTACTGGCTACTGACTAATTTCCCTTGAATACCAATTGTGTCATTAGGGGGACCTTCTTTCCCCCCCCCTGCTGATTCCCCCCCGCCCCCCCCTCCGCCATCTGCCCTGCAGCAGAACCTGGCAGGATAGAGGCGGTGATGGAACTTAGACTCCTATGCCCCAGTCACAACCAGCCTCTGGGATCTGCCAACACTCCTCGACCCAGGGACTCCCAAGCCACTAGCCTGTCCCCCAGGGGGCCCTTCCAGCCTCACCACACCTTGGGGAAGACTGAGCAGTTTCTTGGGAAGCCCCCACCCCCAAACCCACCACTCTGAACACCAAGAGTTAAGAGTTGGAGAGCTGGGGAGAAACTGAAGCCTAAAGCCGTGGTTTTTGGCCCCTGGGGCTAACCCCGATCCATAGGGCTACCTGCACCTCTGGATTCTGGATTCACAGACCAAGTCCAAGCCCGTTCTTACGTCGCCATCAAGGCCCCCGAACGGCATTCTCGGTACTTCTGTTTGTTTTTGTACATTTTATTAGAAAGGACTGTAAAATAGCCACTTAGACACTTTACCTCTTCAGTATGCAAATGTAAATAAGTTGTAATATAGGAAATCTTTTGTTTTAATATAAGAATGAGCCTGTCCAATTTCTGCTGTACATTATTAAAGTTTTATTCACAGAGCTTTTCTGGTGCCCGCTGCCTTGCATGTGGGTAGACTGACTGCCCAGATCTTGTCGGGGGCGAGGGCAGGGAGGGCAGACGTTCCAAGGTGGTGGTGCAACCCTCCCACTTGCACCTGCCATGGCCAGTCCCATCTTTGGAAGAGGAGCTGGTCCGAATGCAGGGGGTCTTCCCTCCCTGACACACGGGGGACAGCCTGGCCTGGCCTGTGCGAGGGAGCAGGGGGCAAACCACACATCTTTTTTTGGGCTTTGTCTGTATCTGCTTTTGCCTTTTAGCCTCTTCCTCTACACAAAAGAGGGTCTCGATCCACCACCTAGTCTTGAAGGCAGCCTAAGAGCTCTGCTGGGTTCCTGTTCTCCCCCTTGGCGATTGAGAATAAATGTGAATTGGGGGCACTTAGGTGACTTTGAGATGGAAATCTTCTCTGGCTGCTCGGCTTTTCAGTGTGTGGGTGGTGGTGAATGCCTTTCTCTAGGCCACGGGAACCCAAGATGGCAAGTCCTTGGGGTCACAGACACTCAAGTGTAGCTGGGGCCCTGGAGGTCGCCTGGTCCACCGTGTTGGGCGCTGGCCTCCCCTGCAGCCCCCTGCCACGTGCTGGAGGCCCACGCCTTCCCCTGCAGGCCATCTGCTCAGTAGCAAGCCCTCCTTGTGTGGAGCCAGGCGGCCTCCAGGTGACTTCGACACGGTTGAGAGCAGTTACTCTCTCGTCCCTGTGAGGTCCCTTCAGTTAACATCAGTTAGCGTTGTTGACTAAAGTTGACACTCTGTGCTAAGCAGTGCCGCAAAATTCGCTTTATGTATATTCACTGCCCTCATCCTCAAATAGCATATGAGGTGGGCATTACTCTCCCCACCCGCCTTTGTGGATGAGGAACCGAGGGCTAGAGAAGTCAGCAAGTTGTCCGTGTAGCTCATGAGGTGGAAAAGACCTTGGGTCCAGGGCGTCTGATTACAGACTGTGGCCCCTTCGTCTGTGTGGGGTCCCGCCCCCATGGTTCCATATTCTTCCGCCATGCCACTGAACCTCGAAAGAGCCTGGGGCCGGAAAGACACATAGCATCCCATCCAGGCATTAACTGAAGCGCAGGCTGGAACACGAATCGCACCGTGCCTGACTCTGGTGGGTCACATCTGAGGACCCCAGGACTGCATCTCATGGGTTGAGTGAAGCCCAGCCACCTTCTCCTTCCTCCCGTCCACGGGAAGCTGGTATTTTGAACTCAAGTGCAGGACCTTACATGTTTGCCCTGTTAAATTTTATTTTATTTTATTTTTTTAAAGATTTTATTTATTTGACAGACACAGCAAGAGAGGGAACACAAGCAGGGGGAGTGGGAGAGGGAGAAGCAGGCTTCCCGCTGAGCAGGGAGCCCGATGCGGGGCTCCATCCCAGGACCCTGGGATCATGACCTGCGCCGAAGGCAGACCCTTAACCAACTGAGCCACCCAGGCGCCCCTGCCCTGTTGAATTTTACCCAAGGATGTGCTCCTGGCTCCAACCTGTCAGTATTTAAAAATTCTGGTTGGGGCGCCCGGCTGGCTCAGTCAGTAGTAGAGCATGCGACTCTTTATCTCCTGGTTGAGTGCAAACCCCACGTTGGGTGTAGAGACTACTTAAAAATAAAATCTAAAAAATAAAAATTCTGATTGCTATCTAGAGTTTTCCATTGTTCTCCCATCTGAGACTGTCGGGCTGGAGAAAATCAAGTAACTCACCTCTAGAAGTTGGCTTTAAGTTTGGCACATATTCCAGTAACCTGGATTAGCTGCTAATTAAATTGTCCTTGTGGCCTCGCCATAATTCATTTGTGCACAGAGACAACAGCAGAAGGCCTAATACCTTTCTGAAGTGGCAAGGTAGTATTGTGGCCGTAGCATCTCTTTGTTGACAGAAAGGTGAAGTGGCTTGTAGGGAATCTCAACCCCGCTAAAAAGCCATCCTGTGAAGAATCAGTCGTCTCTCTGGGCATGGACCTAAAATGCCCTAGGCTGTGGATTGCAGCTTCAACTTTACCATTTTGAAAATCAGAATGGCAACCGTTGTGGTACCCTTTTGTGTGCCCTTGAAGGTTACTAAGGGCATGACGTTTCACCTTTGTAAGGCCCATGACGCAGGAGACCTGAATTATTTTGAATAGTGTATCACTTAGGTTTTTGTTTCACACGTTGTGAATTTTTGTCCCCGCCAGGTCCTGTCTTCTGATCTTTACAGTCTGGAGAACATGCTTGCGAAATACAACCAAAACAAAATTAAAAGTAAAGTAGTAGAGTTCAAGAGACACTCAGGAACATGTGAGGGATGCATAAGGAAGGTGGCGGGAGGGAGAAAAGGCTTGGATCAAGCCAGGAATGGTGTACTAGGATTCTCCAGAGAAACCAAACCAGTGGGATGGATAGATGGATATTTTAAGGAAGTGACTCATGACCATGGGGGCTGGCCTGTTTGAAATCAGGCTGTGACAGCTAGAGATCCAGGGAAGAGTTGTTGTTGCAGTCTTGGATCCAAAGGCATTCTGGAGGCAGAATTCCTTCTTCCTCAGGGGACTGCAGTTTGTTCAGGCTTTCAACTGATTGGATGAGGCCCATCCACGTAATGGAGGGTAATCTGCTTTATTCAAAATCTGCTGACTTAAATGTTAATCACATCTAAAACATACCTTCACAGCAACATCTAGACAGGTTCAACCAAACAACTGGCACACCACTCTGGAAGTCGTTGAGCATCCCATGGTCAGACAGGCTGGGATTTAAGGAATATGGCCGAGAGCCTTGGGTCCACCTAGGAATGCTCCTTGAACAATTGGATAGACTAGGCTCTCTTTGATTTGTTGAGCAACCTTAACGTGTAACGCAGAGAGAATGCAAAGACAAACAGTCTATGGTCCTTGCCCTTCAAGGCAGAGAGAGGGTTTGTACAGAGAGAACAATAAGGCAGATTCTGGCAAGTCCCCTTACGGAACTATATGTAATGTGTCAT